TTCGTTTACCGTGAAACTATAATCCTTTCGTCAATATGATCCGATCAATTATGAGATATGGATATGTGTCAATCTCAATTATCGATTATATCTTTTATCCCACTGTTAAGTCAATGTACGTCGAAAACTCTTTTCCGACTTATGAGTTCACCTTGGCCAAGGATTTCATTATCAACTTAACTGGATAAAATGTAGATCATAATCTCTTACTATCTAAGAGTGACGAATCCTCTATTGGTCATTCACAACCTTCATATGATTCTTGATATACCCGAACGATGTTGTATTAGCGACCCTTGGCAGAGCAACATCCAACACCACCAAAGTATGACTGTCCTCATATAAGTTACCATGATGACCTCAAGTCAAAGAACCAATTCCACTACCGAAGGTTAGAGATTAACCACTAACACTCAGATAGTTATCCATATGGAATCTCTCAGTGGGTCTCCAATGTTATGTTCTATAACAAAACATCCACGTGTTCATTCAAGTGTCACCACACTTTAGCTTGTGAGATCAGCTACTTACTTCACAAGTAAGAATGCCACACGCGATAGTCTATCCGTAATAACGATATCCGTATCTCGTTATTACCTCGACCACAGACGATTTAAGATTCAGTCATATGTAATTTGTATCTCACAATCACAACTCCTTGTGATTAACAAATCACCAAGACTTGAATCTACGGATTCTATTATTTAATTTATTAGAATATTAATTCAATTAAATAATAGATATTACCATACATATGCATTGATTATATATATATATTTAAAATGTTTATGTCCAAAGTTGATTGGACTTAGGGCATAACACTTACACCCACCCCCCTATTGTTTCTATCATGTATGGGTACACGAGTTTACACATAGCAGGTCCCAATATTTATGACTTCCATACTAGTTCTGAAATCTGATGTAAACCAGACATTCACTTACTGAAGTTCAATCCTGAAGAAGCTTATGAACTGGCTTACGAATTAGCCCCGCCGCAACACCGCCACACATCACATCCCAAAAACCTAACCTTCGCAGGTAACTTTTTGCCCAGCTGGATTTTTTTTTTTTAAATTTTTAAATACAATACTTCAAAATGTTCTGACTTTAAAAACCATCGGAAAGTAATTTGGTTGCCTCAAGGATTAAGAAGCAGTTTCATGCTTTTATCAAGGTAAAAATCTGTTCTTTATTTCTAGTCTTACATGTCTAAAAAAAAAAAATTGCTTAGTAATTCTAATTTTTGATATTCATGTGTATAGGCTCATAAATTTTTAAGGCTTATCTGATTAAGATTGAAAAATGGCACATGCTTATTAGAAATTACTGTGTGTAATTGAGTTGAAATTTATTGTTTGAGTAAGGCAATTAATTCATGGAATCGGTGTATAATAGGGAAACCCAAATACTTGATAACAAAATTTCAAGAAATCCAGACAGAGAGAGAGAATCAATTCTCTATTAATGCAACTTTGTCTCAAATTTAACAAACAACTCCAAATCAAACATAACTGCAGAACAACCCCATGAAAATGGAAACACAAAGAAACAGAGAGCTTAAGAAGCTTGAGAACCGGAGGTACGTTCCTGCCCAAACTGCTCCCCCTTGCCCTTCATCTCCTGCGCCTTAGCCGCCAGCTGATCAGCGGCAGGTGGTTGTTTTCCGGTCACCATCTTGTAAATCCATGATAAAACGCCTACGCCCGCCACTGTGAAGCTTCCCGAAGCCAAAAAACCTGAACCTAGCATGAAAATTGTTATTGCAGCAGGCACCAGAACTGGGCTGAAAATGACCAGCAAGGGAGTGGCCAGACTAAGAGCTATCACAGTCCCGGCAAGGGTCAAACTGGAGAGAACCAGGAGGGAACCGCCGGCTGTGGCTCCTGTCGCCGCCTTCACCACCTGGTGTGACACCGGCTGCTTCTTCTGCTGCTGCTGATCCTTCTGCTGTTGCCCATAATGCTGTTGCTGATACTGCTCAGCCATTTGCAAACTCCCTTGAATTTCAAAATATTAAAGAAGTTATATGAATTGAATGCAGTTTTGTGATTTCGGTGGGTGATTATATAGGAAGGAAAGAGGGGTACGTGTTGAAGGGTGGGATCGGGTGTCCTAACATGCATGGGTTGCATGTATATTTTCAGACACGTATATTTCATTATTTTGTTGTATCTGAAGTGGTTGGGTATAGAGATTAAGTTCTTGTTTGGTTCCATTAATTTTTTTAAATTCTCTCTTTTCAATTTTAACAATGCGTTCTCCAAATAAAATAATATTACACACAAATCTAAAACTTTTCATTATTTTTCAACCACACATTCTACCATCAATCACTA